GCGAGTTTCGCGGGTCTTTTCTCTTGTCTATATATAATCACCAATAATAAAAGCTCAGCCAATATTAGGCAATTTCTTCAGTACTACAGGAAACAATCATTAATAGAAATACAGCCCAGAATGTTCATCTGTTGCAAGTATTAACTTATTAGCCTTAGAAGTCTTCCTCAAAGAGAAGTCATGTGAAAACTGCAGAAACCTGCTGCTATTGCTTTGCATGGGAAAGATTTGTGGGAGAATTAAGCTATGCATACCCATTTCCAACAGCAATTAGGTATCCAAGTTTTCTAATTAGTTGAGAGCAGAAAATCATGTTTCCAGAATAAAATAGTTGCACTTGATCCCTATCAGATACAGCTAAGTGGGAAAATACAATTCTAATTCAGCTACTGATTGTAGACCTGGTCCTGTCCTTGCTGGGATAAGAGGGGAGATATGCTGGGAGTATGTCAGGAAGATGGCAGTCTACACTTTTCTCATTTGACACCTGCCAATTTGCTTAGGTAATGTGCAATAGAGCAGAAGATTTTTACACATAAAGTGATTTTGATCCAAAATTATTGGATTCTAAATAGGGGTGGGCATGAAATGGAAAAATGGAGGTTCATAGAAAGGCTTGTGGTTTCGGGTTTTCACCATGGCCCGACCTGAGTGAGCACCAAAGGCATTTAAATGCCTTTGGAGCTCACTTCCAGTCAGGCCACCAGACCCAGAAGTAAGCTCCAAATGTATTTAAATGCCTTCAGAGCCTGCATGAATCCTCATGAACCTCTATGAAAAACATGGTGGTTCATGTGGCGGATCGTGGGAGACACATTCTCCCGAACCCCAGGGTCTGTTTATCAGTTCATGCTCATCCCTAATTCTAAATAATAAATAATTACTGTTCTAAAACATTCAAATTATCCTGCTTAAAATTATGCAAGTAACACTTTAAACTGAAAACTGTAAAAAAAATTCTTGCAGTGTGTGACAGGGTGCATGCTAAAACAAGTGTTCTTTTTCCACAATAATCTCCAATATACAAAATTTGTCAGTGTAAAACCATCTATGTTCTTCTAAACACTTTTATGAGCAGAAATTCCATTCAGCTGAACACAGGAGACTCTTTCAGCTGGTGTGAACCACTTATGTAAAGGAGATGTTTTCAAAAATAAAAGAAGACATGGTAGAAAGAGCTTTAAAAAAAAGATGTACATCAGATACATGTGTGTGTCTTGGTTATTGCATTTACCATCTGAATGAAATGACTGGCAATACTCACATGCACATTTATTTGCAGAGTTCTGCCAGACTGACATTGCATTTTTTTGTTTGTTCTGAAAACCCTCTTCAACTCTAGTTTCTGTTTTCTGTACAGTGTCGTGAGGATTTGCTTGCTCTGCTGCTACTGATAAGCCTGTGGACAAAAGATAAGCATACCTATTTAAATAATCCTCACACTATAAACCGGATCTTTTTTAAAGAGAAGCCTGGAATATAAAGTAACATTAAAACCTGACAGTAATTAAAGACATTTAACTGGACGCAACAACAACAACAAAAAAGATTTACATAAAGGATATTTACTTCACCCAGGAAAGGAATCCATTAGACATACAGCCTTAGAGTATTAAAACCTGACTGTTCTCCCCCCAAAAGCCCCCCAAAGAAAACAGTACTTCGTAATATTCATACGGGGCTTTAGAGTGTTTCACATACTTTATCCTGCTGCACTTTTTTCAACAACCCTGTACGGTAGGCCAGTATTGCTATCCCTACATTAAGTGGCTGAAAGGCTCAGGGGGATTCCCTAAGGTCATGTCATGTGTTCACATCAGGGGCAAGATTCTAACTCATATTTTGGTTTCTTAACCACTGGACTTTTTCAAAAACACTCCATTTTAGCCAAGAATCATGTCCCATTCACTTGGACTGTCTAGGTTTCCCTTCCAGGAACTATATATGCTCCTCTTCAGTATTACAGCAAAATTATGTTACTATGTACAACCAGGGCTTTTATTTTACAATAAGTTACAAAGAAAAGATTACTACCCATGAACAGTGTTCCCTCTAAGCTGAGTTAGTGTGAGCTAGCTCACAGTTTTTTAGCCTTTGGCTCACACATTTTTGTCTCAGCTCAGGAAGGATGGCTCCAGAACAAACTAATGTATGCAGTAGCCAAATCGCTCGCTCACAACTTTAATGCCAGTAGCTCACAAAGTAGAATTCTTGCTCACAAGACTCTACAGCTTAGAGGGAGCGTTGCCCATGAATACTGCAAAGAATATGTTTTACTTGTACCATTTCTATAGTGCTTACAGTTTATAGCATATTTTACAATACGCTCTCGTGATTTCTCCTCACACCCTCCTGGGGAAGATAATCAATACCCCCATTCTGAGGCCAGGCAACTGAAAGTAAAAGGGGGGGGAAATGTGCCTCAGATCATGAAGAAGAATATATAGTTGAGCAGGGATTTGACCCCAGCTTCAAAATCTACATAATACTACATAATAATCTACATAATACTACATAATAATGCTGGATTTTATTATAATTTTATACTATTATATCTATTTACATTGTCACCAAAGATAAGAGCCTGGATCTCAATAACGCAGCACAAACCCTATTGCAATCTGAGAACGGAAGGGCAAAAGGCCTGAACACAGCCAAACTGGAGGGAGAGAAGCAGAAATAACTCGGTGAAAAGCCTTGCAAAAGGCGTGCTCATTCCAGCACATTAGCCTTCCAAGGCTTGTATCTTGGAAAAGTGCGTGAAACTGATATTCGAGTTCTTTCCTCTGCAGAGGAAAAACTGCTGGAAAATCACACATTCTCCCCCCATCCCATCCACTTTTTTCCATCCAGCATCTCCCCCTCCTGAAGCATCTGTTCTTGAAAAAGCAAGTGTCAAGTTGTGTGTGCTTGCCTGTAATGTGTAGTTGGGCCCTCACACCACCGGGAGGAGCACAAGGACGAGAAATTAAGTAGTTCTCACCAGTGTTTGTTACAGGAGAGGGGAATTTCTTTTTCGAAAATTCAGACCGATTTCCCACAAGCAGCTGCGCCGCCCTCGCTCTTCCCTTTCCCCCGATTGTATTCGGCAATTTCCCACTACTTGCTGCAGGGCCGCATTTTGACCCGCAGCATCCCCCGATTTCTCCCGCATCTTCTAGATCCTTTTTTTTTGAGAAAAAAAAGAGGGGGGGAAAAGGGGGGGGGGGGGGGTGCTGCAGGTCAAAATGCGGCCACGCAGCAGGTAGTGGGAAATTGATTAATACAATCGGGGGAAAGGGAAGAGCGAGGGCAGCACAGCTGCTTGTGGGAAATCGGTCTCAGTTTTTTAGATACAGCCTTCGATTCCTCTTATTCTCTTAGAAGAGTAATCACGGGCACCCTGTTGTAACTCTGGACCTTGAAGTTGTTTTATGTTGCACGCCACATGGTGGTGCTCTAATAGGAGGATAGGAAGGCTGCTAAGAAATTGCCTGCCTCTGAGCATCTACAGAGTGAAATTCTGATATTCTGCAGAACCTCCCTTCCTGCCTCTGCTCGCTTTGGATTTCTCTTTGATCAAAGCAAAAAGGGGAGATGGGGGATTGCTGGATTTCAAAGATAATCAGAGTAAAGAGGAATTAGGAGAACTACTTTTAACCCCACTAGTTTTCACTTATCTAACAGCATACCCACAGCTGGGCTGAGAGTTGAATGCTTCACACCATGAAATTCTCATACTGTTGTCAATGAGCTTCTTAACCTAATATCTGCCTTAGTGAACTGAGACTCCTCCCTTCCAGCAAAAGCAGATGTTGTTAAAATAGCCACATCAGACAGCATTCTGATTTGACTCCTGTGCTATTTACACCAAACTCCATCCTCCTTCCCAAGTAATTAATACAGACAAGCCAACTGTGGGGTTTAGATCTCAATTTACATAATTTTTCTATATATTATCATACTTTAAATATTAAAAAGACTGTGACTTAAGCAGACATGTATAGCCCAAGAATTTATTGCTGGGAATGTCTAGTTTTGCTAGAGAAAAATCTGAAGGTCACTTCGAACCCATTAAGGACTGAGGCTGGTTAAACTAAAGCTCCTTTTAACAAAGGATGCTGCCCGCTAAGATAGATTATTCTCTTTTGCAAAAGGCCTTGTGAAGAAATACAGGCTTGGGTCCAATGAAATGCAAAACCATCATTTTTGCAGATCATTCAAATGCAGAATGTTACACTAGAACTGTGTAGAGTCCATCAAATCAGGATCTGAAGCAGGGATCTCAGACTGGCTTATTACCCACAGTTCCTTGACCATGGTTTCGCATTACGTAACAGGTGTGGAAACCAGGTTTGTTTCCTCCTGCCGCTTCACACCCTGCCCAACTACAGAGGTGCCTGGCAAGAGAGGCCCAAAACCAAACCTCTCTCACCTTTCACCACTTCTTCCTAGCTGTCTCCCTTGATACCAGCTAGCCATAGTTAGTGAAGTTACCCACGTTCAGGCAACTGCACTAACCACAGTTAGATTAAAGCACAATTATATGCGACATCTTTAGGTGTATCACTGATCAAAGAGTAAACTGACTGAACCACCATGTGAAAACTATAGTTCTGGTATGAAGCTGCTCTTTCAGCTAGTGAAAGAGTGAATGTGACTCTGATCAACAAGGAACACATTCCATTGTGTAGGTTTCTTGCTCAAAGAGGATGCTACCTGTTTGTATTCGCTAAGGACCATTCTTCCAAGATCATCGTGTCCTGCAAGCTCATGTACCTAATTACAATATGTTGCCTGAGAGCCAATGCTCATATTCTAAAACTGGTATACAAGACAAGTGCTGATATGTGTGAAAATTATTCATATGCGTGATCTTCCAGCACTAAACCATTTTACATAAAGCTTACCACGTTCTGTTTTAAAGCACCTGAAGGCTCCATCAATCTACCGGGGAGTATGTCATAAGGAGAGAATCCAAGGAGGCTGAAAGTCTAGTAGGCTGCAAATGCTAGGTTCTCCCACATGCTTACATCTCTTTCTAGGAAGGCCTGAACAACTTTCCAAAATCGGCAACCCTGAAATCTGACTCATGCAAATAATGTACCAAATTGCACAGTGGATTGAAAGGATCGTCTCTCAAATTTAAGTAGCACAAAATTTAAACTCAGATATCTCAAACCGTTAAGATCTTCAAGTGTCACAGTATATCTATGATAAACATATTTTAAATTAATGATACCTCTTTTTTTCCTTGCTTCCTTGATTTCTTCACACATTTTATTAAACTCTGGATCCAACTCAGCAGCAATGATAGCATGAGCAGTGTCCTTCAGAGTACAGGCTCTGTGTCTAATTATTTTATCTACAAAATTAGCACAATTCTCATTTTAATCATCAAAGACATTTAAAAAATCTTACCTCACATGCCAAAGGCCAATGGTACAAATATCTGAAAGGTACATGATCCATCAAATTAACCCGTCAGGAAAAAAAATCAATAAAACCCACACAAGTGATAGAATAGCATTGATCAAACAATTGCCTGATGGAACATACACGTTTTAATCAACCTCCTGAAAATATAAGGCTGTGTAGAAGATGCATTGATCTACCTAAGGCAATCGCAGCTTGTGATGTTACCCAAACCGAACCTAGGCTGCGGTCACACAGCCAGGAAAATGCGGGGGGGAGCGTAGCTGTTTGCCCCGGGGAAAACTAAAGCGCGGTTGGGCGATCAGACCTCCCGTGGAGGTCCCGTGGAGATTCCATGGAGGTCCCGTGGTTAGGGAGAGGTGCGGATCACACCGAAGTGGGGCCTCAGGGCAAAGAAGCGGGGGCCGCGCACGAGGGAAGGCCAGGAGGGGGCTGCCAGAGACAGTTGGCCAAGCGGCGCTGGGGAGAGGAGGGGCCAGCTGGCGACTGAGGCAGGCAGGGGGTGGGCAGTAGTTCTGGAAGGGCAACAGTCTGGGGAGCCGGCTGGTGGGGCGCGCGAAGAGGGCAAAGCAGCATGGCTCAGCCCCCTCCGCCCTGACCGCCCCTCGCCCAAGGAGACTTCCTAATCTGCCACCGCGCCCCCCTCTTCTGGGCTTCATCTCAGCCGCTGTATCTTCTGCCTTGCCCCCTTTCCCCCTATCTATTTGTCGCTCGCCTCAAGCCGTGCGCTCTTTGTGGCTTTCTTCAGGCTGCTCTCCTCTTCTCTGCACGACGCAAGTTGTGTGGGTTGTTTTTTATTAAACTAACGTTTGCGCATGCTCCGTTGGGCGCTTTTGCGCATCCGTGGAGACTTGGACAAAAAACCCCACCTTTTAGCTAGGGGACATGGGCGGGCGCCGGAACTACCTCCGGAAACGCGATCAGACGCCCGCCCTTTGCCCCGCGGTTCCCGGAAACTAGTACCTCCGAGGTACTAGTTTTTTACTGCGCTGCTTTGACAGATGATGGAAGGTTTTAGAAGGTTTCAGAACAAAATACATGGCTCAATGAACACCAGTAGTTTGGTAGGTCACAGATTGTGCTAGTCTGATCTACACAACACAGGATCACTGTTTTTGGAATTTACATATATATATATTTACATATATATACACACACAGAGGTATGTCTGTGAACACCCATATTTCAGACTCTCATAAATTGTGGCAATGTCCTCGCTCAGAATGCCCACCCAGCTCATGTGAAAACAGAGCTCTCTCAGGTTTCTAGGGAGGGAGGAGGCAGGGACTCTCCATCTGAGAGGCAAAGGGGCAGTTAAGTAACTTTAGGCTCTTGACTTAATGGTGTTACGGCACGGTGATCCCCACCCCACCCCTCAATGCAGGATCCAGCCACTAACGGACAAAAGAATTATAGCCAGCACTTCCTTAGGAATACATCCAGCTGAACTTGTGGGAACTTATTTATGAGTAAACATAGAAAAGACAGCACAAACTGAATCTGTAAAATACAAATGCTAGAATATTCAAGAGGAAAATCTGAGCAGCACCAATAAGAAATAGCAGTGATATAGATTATTAACCAGTAAGTAACTTGCTTGCTATCTCCAGCTCAAATCCCCTTCCAATCAAAGGGTGAGACGGATAAGAACTTGAGTCAGGGTCTTCTGAGTTGTGGCCCTCCAAAATCAGCCACCCACTAAGATAAAGATACATTTTATTTAAGCTTGCTTTTGAAGTGTAGCTGACGTGTTTCTCACTGCATTGTTCTAAGCATGCAAGAGGCGTCTGTAGGACATGAGCTGCTTGCCATATACTTTGAAAGGGAACTGGGGAGTACACGATGGAAACCAGAGATGGAGAAAAGGAAGGCTTGGGGGTTCACCGAAGTTTCTAAAACAAGATGGGTTGCTTAAGCTTGTAACTACTGTCCTACAAAACTTTTAAGCAATATGCATTTATGGCATGTACCTTATACAAATACTAACCTGCAATGAATACATAGGGGGTTTTTTTGTTTGTTTGTTTTAAACAATTTTATTAGGATATAATAATAAGTAAAATTTTACGTCATATAACAAACTTTTCATATCCTTTTATCCAGGTACCCCCCCCTTCTGACTTCCCACAGTGCTCAAACCTCTATTACATTCTTGAATTTTTTTCTCTTTTTCCAATTCTTTAACAACATAATTCTTTCAGGTAACGTATCTTTTTATCTGTCTGTCTATGCATGTTTAAATTTAATCTAAATGTCTATCCAACCTTAGTAATTGTCACAGCAAAATAAATTGTTTTTTACATCCCAGTATTTCTCTAAGTAGTCTTTAAAGTCTTTCCAATCTGCAAAAAAATCTTCTGCTTCTTGATTTTTCAGCTTTTTTGTTTTGTTTTGTTTTTTAAATGAGTCTTGTGGGACCTTAAGGACTCAAGACTGGACCAGCACACACAGGACAGATCTCACCCGCCCCCAGAAGCTTGTTGTAATCCCTAAAATGCAACTCCCAGGGCAGCATGGTGGTCTACACTGAGAAGGGAAATAGCAGAAGTGCTCCCAGATTGCACAAGCAGAAATGTGACTTCTGTGAGCTGTATTTCATAAGACGCATGAAGGGACACCTCAGTCATCTGAATCAATTATATGTGTGGGGGGCGGGGGGGGGCTGTGAACAATGATTTTTTTAACCAGTGGCTACAAAACGCTATGAATGGCTATGAAACTCAAGAAGCTATGAAATACAAGAGCAAAATGTGTGTTCATATTTAAGCAAGAATAGAACAGAATTTTCTTACCCCCCGGATCTTTGTCAGGATTATACTCCAACGCATTGCTACAGATGAGATCGATGTCTATGAGGAAATCCTTTGTCGTTAAATAGTTCTGCTTGTCAATTTTACTTATTACTGTAGACAAGTCCATCGGCTCTTTGATAACTTCCAGATAGTCTGAAACCTATAATCAAACAGCACAGTAAAGTGACACAGAGACCTATGCTGATTTTCACATATATCCAACATTAAATGTATTTATTTTCCGACTCAATTCATGCAGAACAGTTTCAGTCCCCCAAAGAGTAAAACTGCTGCTGGTAACAAAATTCTTCTTCATGTAGAAGCAACTGCAAACATGGTGGCTGAAAATGAAATGATTTTTTAAAATATGCTATACAGAGACAACCTAGTACCCCTCCAGGACTTCAAAGCACAATGCAGAAATACTCGTTCACAGATCGGCTTCCGAGACAGATGCTTGTACAGGTGGGGTAAGCAGGCTTCCAAAATTCTCAGCAGGGAATCACAAGGCTAAAGTTACGTTTGATAAGTACAGCCTATGCATGCCCAGGGAGCACAACTTCACCCACCCACTTCTAACCTCACTTCACCTGACTGCCATACATCTACAGCCAATTCATTAAATCTATACATTCCAATTTGATGATATACAGATGGCACCCATACATTTAGAGGCTATCCATACAAATTGTCAGGGAGAAGTAATCCAACCAAAACCCACAAGAGAATGTATGTCTAGAACTCAAGACTGTTACATATCAACTTGAACAGTAACTGAAATGATAGTTTCAAGTGTTAGTTCAGGGGAAGGGGGGGTCACATTCCAAAAGTTCTAGAAAGATCATTATGTGGTCTGCACACATATAGGATTCACAGAGACCATGAAACTTACAGTTAAAGTTACAGTATACACAGGCATTTAGAAGATTTATTAACACAAATTTATATGCCTGCAAAACAATATCAACTCCAGATATTCAAACATTATTCTTCTAAGAACATCATCGCAACTGACTGTTATCTGTGCAAAGTTGGTTTTGAAGTTGACCAAAAACCAGACAGACAAACATAGCTTGTAAATATGATGATCTAAAAGCAGACTTCTAGAATACAAATAACTGTTATTGCAGCTTTGTCATTCTCTATTTAGTTTCTTACAGGTATTAGAATGAAAGTCTACCCAAATTTTCTTTCAAAGGTCAAGTCCATCAAATAGAATAATGGATGCCATACTGGTTTAAATAATTTATTGTAAGCCACCTTGGTAAAGGTAGGCTATGAATCCTTATAACAAATTCATTTTTTGTTGTTTTAAATTTTGCAGATTGCTACCACTGGCCGGTTAAATGGCATCTTCTTTTTCATCTATACGACCTTTTTGCTTCTCAATAATAATAATAATACTGGCCAGAGATAGGCAAGGGAGAAAATTACTGGTTAATTTGTTATCTGTAATAGATATTACAATTTAATAAATATTCCTTTAACACAGCTTGTTCAATGCTGTTTCTCCAAGCAAAGATCAGTTTGCATTCAGCCTGGCATGAAGAAAACAAATTATTACACAGTCGAAGAAGCAGCCTGAACAATACACAGTGTTCTGGATTATGTTAGTATCGCAGCCAAGAACCAGTTAGTTGTGGCTTCAAAATGTTCAAATTAAGCCAATATTCCCTGTAAATATGGAAAACAAGAGTTAGATCACAGATAACCAAGGCCATCTGGGATGCTAACTGATCTCCACCTTCTTTTTTTTAAATTAACTGTTAATACGGTCAACTTCATTGTTTGCACGTTTACTGAAACAAGACCTCTTCAATATCCACCGGTTTGCTGAAGATGTTAAAGCGCTTGTCTGTGGCCAGCCTCTTGGTAACATCCCTGAGAAACAGCCGCAGCTCTCGCAACGTGTTCTCTTCTTGGTCTTCCATTCGCTGCTGTTCTGCCTCTGACAGCTGGCGGGTCGGAGAGGGTAGTGCAAGGGGAAGCACCTCCAGATCAGAAAGAGCTGAAAGAGAATTTGGGTGAGGGGGAAAAATCAGGTTCTTCCAAATTACATCTGCAGAACATCTTATATCACCCAATGATTTGATAATACCAAAAATTCTGCATTCTTCAGCAGTTTTAAAAAGATTGAGAAATAACAATATCGTGTGAATATTTTTCAAACCTCTGTGTACAGCCTGCTCAGCACCAGTACTCCAAAGCAGAAAGAGCCAGGAGATTCAGAAACTGGAATATCAAAGTCATCCCCTACGTAGCGTACCATTATTAATTAAAACATGCATTAAAAGCCCCCTGAATATGCCACTGATCCTACCTTTAGGAATCTCTTCCTTCCATCCTCCCCCACCAATACCTTAACAGCCATCACAGAACTTGCCTCTGCCTGTTAAGTGCGGAAGAGTGACAGTGCCTGAATACACCCACTGAGGACATGAATCCCATACAAGGTCACAGCCAGTTAATTCCTGTTCCCAGTCCTATTTAAAAATCAAAACCAGGAGAGGGAGCCCAGACCTGGGCAGCCCAGGCAAGCCTGATCTCGTCAGATCTTGGAAGCTAAGCAGGGTCGACTCTGGCAAGTACTGGATGGGAGACCTCCTTGGAATACCAGCAGTCGGGAGGACAGGGGCAGGCTTTATTCAGCCACCTCTCTGAATATCCTCCAGGCCCACAGGAGGGGTCAGTCACCAGAGTGCACACACACTCACATGCACACATACATGCACATAGGAAAAATACAAAAAGAACAACAAAACAAAAAAAACCCCACCAGGAGTGGGCCATTCAGGTGGAAGAGACCATATTCTCCAAGAATCACAGAAAGTGAACTAACCAGTTTGCTTCCTTCTCGGAGGAGGCATCGATGCCTGGTTTAGAACCAGCTCTTGGAAAAACTTCCGCCTGTCTTCTTCATTAGGTCTCTGAATATAAAAAACCTCTTCGTACTGGATTTTAAAGATACATTTCACCTATACGAAAACATAGTGGAAAAATAAAGGAACTGCCTATATTTTAAAGCTACTTTAAATTATGCCATTACATTCACAGGGCTAGTTTTTGAAGAAGAAAACCGAAGGGAGACATAAGAGGTCACTACTCCGGATGAAGTTTCCTCAGAAAGCCCTTTAATTAATTTCTACGGCACAGAAGCAGTAACATTTAAATACTCAATACCATGTGTCTGGCCAGGCATACAACAACCCTGATTAGGTCACAGTAGGTCAATATTAGCGGTAGGCAGCATGTAACCACTGGGCAATGGCTTTTCAGTGGCATGCGCATGAGAACAACAACATCTAAACTAGTTCAGAGTCATTCAGTACTCCTCTTACAAAAGGCATATCGGAACCCCAGAAGAAAACGGGAGTACCAGTTGCTAGAATATCAGATCGTCATTATCACTAAACAAATGGGTACAATCATTCATCAACTCAACAAATATAGGTTGGAATTCAACAAACTATATTAGAAAGGCTTGGGAATGACCTTTGAGATTTTTTGTATTTGAACGGTAAACCTCTACATGCTACCATTTATTTATGTATTTATTTTAGTATCCCCTTGTTCAAAGCAGTTCACCTAGGAGGGCTAATTGCTTAAGAAACAATTCCAGACACCCGAACAAATCTTTGGGTTTCTATTTCTCACTAAGAAGCCTCCCCCTTCCCCCATCGAACTGTTTTTGAGACTGAGGAGACATTCCCCACCCCCAAAAAAATAAGACTGAGGTAAAGAATAGAGAGATTGTAGAGTAACAAAAAAATGCACTGTGCTGTTCTCTGGATACTAGCCATAATCTCTCCTGATATATAATGCTGTTTTGGTCATGGACTCCTCCACATGCTCCCAAATCAGTTGGCTCGTTGGTGTGTCACTCAAACGGCGTCTCTACCCACTGGCTGTGTTGCTGGCTGCATTGCTGTCGTCCCGCCCACCAAAGCGCCGCCCAGCCTCAGTGTGCTCGGAGCCGGCCAGGACGCTCCAGCGAGCGGGCGCTCATCAGGCTAAGCCCGATCCTGCTGGCGCCTCAGCGGACATTGTCAGCCGAGGCCGCTGCAGGTACCCGCTCAGGCTGCGACTGAATGGGGGCTGGTTCACTGCTGGGACGGAGAGCGATGGAGGCAGCCAGGTGCGAAGCCAGTGGCGGGACCTTCCATCGCCCCTTGACCCCGGGCTCTGGGGAGGGAAGAGAAAGCAGGGGACTGGGGGGGGGCTCTGTCACGTCTTTCTAGGGTCCGTTGTCTTCCTTCTACAACAAGCTTTGCTTCTAGTTAAATATAAAATGAAACACTTCAAATATCTTCCTAAACCAACATTAAAAAGCATTTCACCTACACTGGTGGTACAGAGAAGACAGTCAGAAGCTAACAGTTACATTCACAGTGGGATAATGGGGAAAACCACTACTGGGTGATTCTCAGGGCAAAAAAAAAATTCACCGCTTTACTGAAGTTAGTTAAGCCATTAGGTGATTTGGCAAATATAGAGGAGGTGTGTTAACATTATTAGGCCAAACGAGAAGGTCCCCAGAGAGGATGAGGATTGCAAAAGTTGCAGGGGGAAACATTTTACTTGTTGCTTCGTGTTCTTTTATAGATAAGACAAGGTTAATTCTCAAGTTTCAGCTACAGGTAAAAATTGGGCTGGATCCCACTTCTCCTTTCAGTTAAGCACAGAGCCTTTCTCTGGCAGAACAGCTAGCTTGGAGTCCAGTAGCATCAACAAGATTTTCAGGGTGTGACCCTTTGAGAGTCAAAGCTCCCATGGTCAGACATCTGATGAAGGGGGCTTTGACTCCCGAAAGCTGTTACCCAAAAAAATCTTATTGGTTTCTAAAATGCTACTGGATTTGAAGCTAGCCGTTCTACTGCAGACCAACACAGGCACCCTCTGACACTATCTTCTCTGGTAGATGACTCTCTTCCTCTGGAGAAAAGGTCTGCTCTGTGCTCAGCAGAGCAGTAGGATTCAACCAACTATGTAGAGATGCATGCAAACAATTCTCCCCCCTGCATTTTCAACCTCAGAAGTGTCCTCCCCCCGCCCCCAATCCCATACTGGACTGGATCACAACCAGCTTATTTAAAAGGTTCTAAGAGATGCCTCTAAGCTACTGAGATGGACAAGTTCTAGCATGCATCTACTGGGATTCCCCTGCATCAAGATCACCAAGACCTGAACTATGTCATTTCACACCTCAAGCAATCACAGTTCATGCTCACCTCTTCAGGCAGTTCACTATACATGGTTTCAGAGGTAGAAAGTAGAAATATAGGTGAGAATGATGGTATGTCTTGCAGCAAAGTTAGAAATGTGGCTCTCACAGTTTCACTGACGGCTTCCCACCAATCGCCAATCTGAGGCATGTAAACAATACTTGGTAGTGTTCTTCTCGCTTCACGAAAGATCTGGTCAAGGAAAATACTGATATTAAAATTAAGATAATCACATTATCAAATTGCTGTCATGAGATATACTTGGTTACTTTCTACAGGCTTTTATTGTCTGACATTAAGGTTTCTTCTTTACATAAGGGTGCTCTGTGACTCAGCTCCTAATATCTCATCCTCACTGTTCATATCATGCAGACTGAAACGGCAACCATACAGCACCAACAAGACACTGAGCCATATGACAGGTTAAATTAGAATGGAAAATGAACACCAACTAACCTGCGCACAGGACTCTTCAGGTGTTTTGGCACTGACTGAATAGAGTGCTGGCAGATCTAATCTGTGTACAGCAAATTTTTCAAGAGAGTGCAATAGGGCTGGAGCAAGGTGTGAAGTCTGACCTGAATCCCTTTCTCCAGAAAGCAGTAATCTTGGCCTGTAAGAGGTGGGCTGGTGGTAAGCTGACCTGTAACAACAGTAATGCTTTCTTAGACCGATGTGTACTGATCATACTTTTCTTGAATCACAATGTTTACCACCCCTAAATGCTTAGTAGAGGGCAAAATAAATTACCACCATCACACTGGCAGTTAAGTTGTCAATGTACTTTTTGTCATCAAGTCTCAGCTAACTTAGGGCAGAGGTGGTTTGCCACTGCCTGCCTCTGCACAGCAGTCCTCCTAGACTGCCTTGGTGGTCTCCCATTCGAGTACTAAACAGAGCAGAACCCACTTATTTTCCAAGACCTGATGAGATCAGGCGAGCCTAGACTATCCAGCTCTGCTCAGGGCCAATACACCCAGTATTCAAGTATTTTTTTACTGCAGAGTTTCAAAGGTTAGCTAGCCATAACTCCCCAGCAAACACAAGTCATGGGTTTGGTCGTAGCTTAGCTGAAGTTGGATATGTTCTGGTTTAGGATTATGTGGATACAGCAAAATCTTTGTTATCCAGCCCCTGGTTAACTGGCATGCCAGTCAAGTGACCTGCACATTATCCCCCTCCGTCAGTTGGGTGCTGCCCATCTCACTCACCTGAAGCCAGGTAAAAGCTTTGCTAAACAGCATATCTGATGATCTGGTAACTGCAATTCTCCATAGATGCTAGTTAACAGAACTTTTACTGCATGTGCAAAAAAAGCAGATCTCATACGATAAGCTTTTGAAAACTTGTTTGGCACACCTGAAACAGTGCTGCTCTGGTTCACATGGGATCATTTGAACATATGCTGCCTTTACCGTTGTCAAAATGTAGGTTACATGTTTCTTTGGAAAGACAGCTGTCTTTTTTGTGTTCTAAAATATAACAGGGGTAAAGTACCATGCAAACAGAGAGTAATACACAAGTAAAGTCATAATTTCGATCTCTGAACGCTGATTACTATTATTGAACTATTATATCCTAAACCACTCAGTGGTCTTTTAACAGAAAATCCTACAATGTTTTCTGGAAACTGGTACATAGCAGAGTATGCGCATTTAAAGGGAAACAGGTGAGAAAAAAAGGGAAAACAGCTGAACTTAGACAACATGATTTTTTTAAAGTAACCAGAAAGCTGTGTACACTTATACAATTAAAAATAATGGTTGCACATGGCAACTGATGGGAATATTAAGAGGGGAGCTAATCCCATAAAGTAAACAAGCTAAACATCTGACATTAGACGTTTAAATAGTACGAAAACAACTTTAGTCAGTTTTCCTTAAGCTCCTATCATCAAAGGACACCAATTTGTGAAGGCATGTGACTTCAGAACAGAAGGACCATCATATGCTAAATATGGGGGGAGGGGGGGAGTTTATCAATACACTTTTCAGTACTTTCAAGCAAGCATCAGCCAGCAAGAATCCACTACTGCTGGGGTCCACTCATTTCACTCCCAAAACACTGTCACAACAAATAATGTTTATGTTGGCTCTGCAAACCTGCATAAATGTTAATCAGGACTGTCAGTGCACGGAAAAGTCAATCTACTTACATCGTAAAATGAAGGTAGGATTTATGTACAACAGCTGATAATTGTTTCTTTGGTGATCCTGACTGGCAACTTGTCTCAAATATTGATGTCGCATTTTCATCTTCACTATCATCCATAATTAGACTTGGTGTATCTGTTCAATACAAAAATGAAGGATTTTTTAATCGCATAATATTGTTTCTTTTTTATTATATCATTTTATTCGATTCAAAGAAAATAAACTATACAACCATAGACTCATCACCTGACACGTATAAACCTTACTTAAGCATACATTAATTACACTGCCCTAAAACACCACCACCATAATAAACCTAAATAAAAAAATTCACATTGCCATAACGTCCCAAACTCTAAATACAAAGAACCACCTTTCAAACAAATTCCAATATCTATTACTGCACAACTAGGTAACCTTTACGGTTATTCCACTACAATGCAAATACTTTCCAAGTATCGGCAAATTTAGCAGCAGACCAGCCTTTCCAAGTCCACCTATGTCTACATGATGATATCTTGTTCATTGTCCATTTGAACCATGCTTTGTTTAACCACAGTCCCAAAGATCACATCAACTGGTCTTTCCATTTCTGTGCCAGTGCCATTCTTGCCACAATGACCAACTGAGATAATAGCCACTTTTGAGACAAATTCATACTAGTATGGCAGGTCATTCAATAAGTCGATCTTCAGACAGCAAATAAATGAGCATTGCAAAATAATTTCTATGTCTTTATTTATTTTTATTCATTAGATTTGTAACCCACCCTCCCCATGTAGCAGGCTTAGGGCGGGTTCCATCATAGCAAATATACAACAGTTAAAAACAATTAGAATACATCAAATAAAATACAACTACTGATTCCCATATTTCTAACCAGCGCCTCAACAAATCCGGTCTATGCACACTATTATACTATTCCATTTTGTTTTGTTTTTAACAACTAGGCAGGTCACTGTAAATGAAAAAAAAAGATCCTCTTACTTTTCCAACAAAGCGGTCTATGCACATGCACACTATTATACTATTCCGTTGTGTTTTTTTTAACAACTAGGCAGGTCACCGTAAATGAAAAAAAGATCCTCTTACTTTTCCAACAAATGTCAGAGCAAAACGGGAGCACAATGGATGTACACACACCCAGCTCACTGGCAGCTGTTTTTACTTGGCAGCAGGCAGTGAGGCAGAGAGGGAGTTAGAGGCAGAGAGGGAAGGGAACTGGAAGTCATTTCTCAGTACTGAGAACAGCGGGGCTGGGGATGTTGGGTGCTTACTCAGGGCTCTGAGGCACTTGTCCTTCTGCTAAAGGACAGAGCCAAGAAGAGGGGCTCAGCCAGTGGGTTCCTTGGCTGAGGACCCACAGACTCCCCCTCAGTGGGTTTTTTGAACATTTGTCCCCGTCTGGGGCAGTGTCTGGTGGGCTCAGGGCTCTGAGCCACCACCCACTCCTCTGATAAAGCCAAGCAGAGGGGCTCAACCTGTGGGTTCCTCTGGCGAGGATCTACCCTCCCACCTAATTGCAACACCCCTCTGTGCCATGAAGGTGAGAGTGGGAGACAGGGATGCTCGCCACGGGGGGGGGGGAGTCCACCCCCTCCATCTCACAGGCCCTGTCTCTGTGGAACAAGCCCATCCTGCCAGCCCACCCATGCCCAGCTGTACTGGGGGTGTCACCAGGGGTCTCAGAGGCAAAGCCTCTTTTGCCCAATGCATTCTTGCGGATGGACTCAAGAGGCAGAAGAGCTATCAGCGCTGCCAAAACCACAGCAGTTGCTAAAACTGTTTGCGGAGGAATTTGAGAGTGGTGAATTAGGGGGTGGTGGGAAAACACTCAGCCCCCCTAGCCCCAACTCCTTGAGGCTGCTCCCGCCTTGAGTCTACCCCTCCCCATCAGTCTTCCAAGCCTAGTGCCACAATGCAGCAGCTCATCCTCCCACCTGCCCCAATTTTGGGTCTCCGTTTCCATGCCATAGTTTGGGAACATTTCCACACCCTCCCCAATGACCCCTGTGTACCACAGTGCCAGGTATGCAATGTCCAGATGTGGAGGGGCTCGGACCCCCACCATTTATCATCCTCCAACCTCCGCAGTCACCTGCAAAGGGCGCACCCAAGTCTGTTGCCTCCAGAGTAAAGAGTAGCACCCAGCAGAAGGAAGAAGAGGCCCGCTTTGTCTCAGCGGGGAGAAGGGGGAGTAGGTGTCCCTGCCAAGCAAAAAGACTCACACAAAGAGTGCTGTGGGTAGGAGTGGACCTCCAGGCAGGCCACCCTCCAGGAGGTCACTCCCACAGGGACACTGTTGCTGTCAAACAAAAGGACTAGAGAGAAGGCCTAGGAGGCACTCACTCACCTCATGGGTGAGATGGTTGCCATGGATGGCCAACCTTCGTCCATAGTGGAGGATATGGCCTTTCACCAGCTACCACACTACATTGTTCCATGGTATTCCATCCACTCATGGAGGTCCAAGATCTACCTCATAGCACATCACCCACCTCATGAACCAAGATCTACCTCACAGCGCAACACCTACCTTGTGGGCTGACATCCACCTATACAAACCTCTATCTCTTTAAACATCCACCCGTACAAGTGAGCTCATTTGACTGTACTCAAGGTTTCCCCATCTACAGCAACAATGTCTACAATTAGGAGATGGATCATAACCCCTTTTTCTGTAGTTCGCAACATAGCACACAACCAAGTAGCTATGAAGACACCTGGAATCCTGTCTTTAATTATTTAGAAGTCAGAGGCATCCTAGCATGGGAAAAAGATTATAGACTTTGGTTCTCTCTTTGACTGTTTTTTTTTCTGTGAAGCTGGTATGCCTTCCATCATTCCCTGGAGAACGAAATATGTTTATATCTTCGTATCTTGTTTTAGGTGATTCTCACTGTATTCAATATTTAAGATTTCTGTTCCGTCTATTGATAATGTTAAGCTTGTTCCAGTGTATAGTCTGAACTTGACTTCTACTTTTCATGGTCCTTGTATTTCTCTATGATAATTAAAATAAAATTTAAAAAAATATGAGGAGACAGGCCTGTGACCACCTCCTGGGCCTGAGGGGAAGGGTTGGCCACCCCCAGAATCCATCTCTATAATGAGGTTGACTGCCTCCCAGGCCTGAGGGGGAGTGTGGCAGACCGCCCCCAAAACCCTGTCACCAGGGGGAGGCGTGTGGGTGACCACCTCCTGAGCCTGAGGAGAAGGGCTGGCCATCTCCAGAATCCATCTCCATTACAAGGAGGTGGGCAGGTGACCACCTCCCATTCCCGAGGGGGAGTGTGGCAGGCCGTCCCCCAAATCCATGTCACTGGGGGGGAGGCAGGCAGATGACTGCCTCCTGGGTCGAAGGAGTTCCCATCTGCAGCAACAACATCTAAGAAGAGGAGGCAGGCAGTACTTACCCATCCAAGCCAATCCTCGCCAAACTTGGAGGGCAGATAAAGGGGCATCTCAAGGATGTCCTCTGCAAGTCAGGTGCCTCTAGCTTGCAGGGGGGGCATTCGACACACTCCTCCTGAACCTGTGGCTGTGATTTCCCCCCATGCAATCCACACCAAACTTGAAGAGCAGGTAGAAGAGAGACCACTGGAGACTCGCTGCAAGTTTGGCATCTCTAGCCCGCAGGGGCCCCCGCTCTACCACATCATGAACCTCACAAAATGAACCAGTTCAGTAAACTGGAAGGTTTGTGGTTCATGAGACCCCATGAACCAGGATGAACCTCCGTTTTCCATACTATGAATCAGTTGAAAATACTGAAATATGGGGATTTCTCTGGAAACTCTGTTGCCCAATTCCTCCAAAGTCAAAAAGTCCCTCTTTCCTTTCAAATCAATGAATCTTACCAACCCAGCTCAAATCCACCAAAGTTCCCAGTCATTAGCGGATCCTGAAATTCTCAGGTACATATGCAAAGCTTTAAAGGAGAGTTCTTAAGTCCTAACCTATTCTCCTGAACAACTTTTGTGGTGCATACAAAGGAACAGTCATAAAAAAAAGATAAATCTCAGCAGAATCTTCATCTTAATAGCAGCTATCCTACTTAACAAAGATAAATAAATAAATAATCTAAATCAACGTAACGTCTTCAAAGAAAGTTCCATTTTCTGGATCAACTGCTTTAAATTCTGCACCAACATATTTTCTATCTTTTCAGAGAAAAAACACTCCCAGATATCTGAATCCTCCAACACAGACCTGTACATGCTGAAATGCCTTTTTTCCTTCAACAACATGTTATAATACTACTTTTTGCACACTAATTTTATACCCAGAAATGGAACCAAACCTACTTATTGCTTCTAATAACTGAGCAACTGAGGTCATTGGATTTGTAACTGTTAACCATTTGCAACCATTATCTGCATAAAGTAATAATTTCCTCACACTTTCATCTATTGCAGACCCAAAGATAGAGTATTCTTCTCTCATCTTAATTGCCAAGACTTTTGTAACAATGCTGGCAAAGGGCAACCCTCCCTCACTCTGCTGCAGAGCTGAAATTGTGAAGAAAACCCTGAAAGCAGACCTGTGCCTTTGGACCCCAATAAAGCAATTCAATCCATTTGAAAATTCCTGCACCAAATTCAAAAGCTTTCAAAGTGTCAAACAAAAAAGCTGCTGGTAGATTATGGTGGGTTGTTGTTGTTTTTTGCATAATTAACCAAATTCAATAGCTTCCTAATGTTACTAGACATTTGATGACCCACCAAAAACGTGTCTGATCTGATCCAACATAACTATTCATAATACTTCTTAATCTGTTAGCTAATAATGTTAACTATAAAATATTAGTTTTCAATAAGTAAACAGATTGGTTTGTAAACTGACAATTTGGAACTGTCTTTCCCTGCCTTATGAATTAATTAAATATAAACATCTGACTACAATCTGCTGATTCTTCTATAAAATATTCTGATACAATTTCAATAAATACGGAGCCAAATCCTTAGCAAAAACTTTATAAAACTCATTCACTAATCCATCCAGTCCCAGCCATTTACCAGCCTTTAAATTCTTTATTGTTCATTTAGATGATCCTTCCTTTTTTCATTCTGTCATAGCAACAGAGTTTGTGGATTATTCCGTGATCCTGGAAGGGGGTACAGAACTATAATAAT